GAAAAACCTGCCCGTACATAAAAAAAAGTTGGGGACCACTGCAGGAACACAACTCAAAGATGTACAAATTGTCCTGCAGAGGGCACTGTAAAACCATCTTAATCTTCTCTTGCTGGATCACTTTATATTTTGTGACGACCTGTTTAGCAAGGCAATCGGTGGATAAGTGACGTTAAAATATATACATTTTCGAACAATATTGTAGTCTTATTATTTCTTTCTTGGTATATTCTCATAATACCTAAAGAATTTCAGCTCCAAAATGGACCCAAAAAGAAGTTGATGAGTAAAAAAAGGTAATGCTGTATGGTGTCAGAAATCACTAGTTAAAAATATCAATGGATAAAAAAAAGTTGTTATTAGTTTCAGGTAACCAGACCACACTCACACACACACAAATTCAGTGTATGCTGCTCATGCAGGAAGCAGCCCACGGGATGACTGTGATGTCAAAAGTGTCTGATGCTGTATAGTGTCAGAAATTACTAGTTAAAAAAATATCAATGGATAAAAAAAAGTTGTTATTAGTTTCAGGTAACCAGACCACACTCACACACACACAAATTCAGTGTATGCTGCTCATGCAGGAAGCAGCCCACGGGATGACTGTGATGTCAAAAGTGTCTGTTCATTTATTACATCTAACATGGGGAGTTCAAAAGAGACCTGCGTCGCCAAATTACAGCTTTGACTAAAGGCCCCTTCCTCTGGTTTAAAGTGTTCGTTTCTGGTTTCACTTAAAAGTTCTGCGTGTTTATTAGTGGCCGACGACACCTACATACTTAAAAACTAGAAAAAACAGATAAAAAGACAGGAAATGCGGTCTAAGGTTCCGGTAGACTAATGTCCAGGAAGTAGCCTTTTCACATTCAATCATCTTTAAAGAAACCGAGGCTTTTTTCATGTAAAAATTTATTTGGCATTAAAATTCAATACCAACTTAAGGATCCTTGTAAGATGGCAGACAGATCCATGTATGGTTATTTTAGGTCATGCCTTAAGAAAATATATAATCAGTGATTCATCAAAATAAACAATATGTTGGAAAAAAAATCAGTCGATTTACTCAAAACATGAAAATTATCTTCAAGACCTTAACTCATTTTAACTCTTTTTTAGTTTATATCCTCTCTAGGCCTAGAGCTAGGAAAGTCCAATATTAATTTTTTTTTTTTTTTAATTTTTTTGCCAATAACAATTTTTGAAAGATATTGCACAATTATGCTAATATCAAGCTGAAAATATCGATTGGCCGATAATATCGGATATATCCCTACGTACAGCCAATTGTAACTGTTTAAATGAATGCATAAAATGAACATTTATAAATGCAATCATGTATGTGGTTTGAACACAACTCCAACTGGATTTCTACTTATGGTACAAGGAAAAGGGGTTCAATTTTCGGAAAGGTTACAAGAATGGATTTAAATGAAGAACGGGATAATGTTAAGGGCAACAATTATCACGATTGCCTCTCTTGTGCTGCAGCATTTGACTTTTCCTTGTCCAGGATACACACACACACAAGTACAAACAGAGCAGCCCAACCTACTGTACAAGAGACGCACTTGGCAGCCAACTGTCAAGTGTGGGGGTGTAAACACACCACCGACCACACCCATTGCCAACATGAACTCCTTTTTAGGAATAATTCGCCATCAATCATCCAAGCCGTGCCACAGATAATGTAGGATTAAAAAGAACACAACCACATTTTGAACAGTGGTGTAAATTCTCATCCATGCTTGTACTCAGATTACAATTAAACATAAATATAAAAGTTGACCTTGTACTCAATCTGCAACATCTACTCTCTTACTAACATCACCTCCTCCTCCCTGTCCAGTGTACCCTCCTATTATTCCACTCCCTTTCTGCCTAATTCACACACAAACACAGACACACCCCCCTCTACTGCTGTGCACAATACTTTCGATGGAACCGGGGGTTGCCCTCCCTCTGTTTTTGTTTCTTCAGCCAGAAACATCACAAGAAGTACCTGCTGATTTTTGCCGATAACAGTTTCTTTCTATTGACAGCGTATACAAAAAAAGAGAAAGTGTTCAGTGTGAAAATCGTAGTAATTGTTATGTCTCTTGGTGACTGCAACGAGACAACCAAATAAAAACGAGTTCTTGTGCAACCCCCGATTGATTTTTTAGGTCTGCGTCATCTGTGTTTATCCACTAGGATAGGTAAACCGCGGCTAGGAAAAAGGATATTAAACGTTACGTGTCCAAATACCAGCTCTCGAAACTACAGCTGCTAAAGGGTTAGCCTGTGGCAGATGGCTTACTTAGCATGACAAGACTTGAAACATCTGCAGTAAAACTGGATATACACTACCGTTCAAACGTTTGGGGTCACTTAGAAATGTCCTTATTTTTGAAAGAAAAACACTGTTTTTTTTTTCCCAATGAAGATAACTTTAAACTAATCAGAAATACACTTTATACATTGCTAATGTGGTAAATGACTATTCTATCTTTTTTGGTGCAATATCTACATTGGTGTATCGAGGCCCATTTCCAGCAACTATCACTCCAGTGTTCCAATGGTACAATGTGTTTGCTCGTTGCACGAGAAGGCTAATGGATGATTGGGAAACCCTTGTGCAATCACGTTAGCACAGCTGAAAACAGTTTAGCTGGTTAGAGAAACTATAAAACTGACCTTCCTTTGAGCAGGTTGAGTATCTGGAGCATCGCATTTGTGGGGTCGCTTAAATGCTCAAAATGGCCAGAAAAAGAAACTCGACAGTCTATTCTTGTTCTTAGAAACGAAGGCTATTCCATGCGAGAAATTGCCCAAAAAAAACTGAAGATTTTTCTTACAACGGTGTGTACTACTCCCTTCAGGGAACAGCACAAACAGGCTCTCCCCAGGGTAGAAAGAGAAGTGGGAGGCCCCGCTGCACAACTGAGCAAGAAGATAAGATTAATATGGGCAAAAGAACACAGACATTGGACGGAGGAAGATTGGAAAAAAAAGTGTTATGGACGGACGAATCGAAGTTTGAGGTGTTGGGATCACACAGAAGAACATTTGTGAGACGCAGAGAACAACTGAAAAGATGCTGGAAGAGTGTCTGACACTAGTGATGTGCGGATCAATCCTGAAATATCGATACTTCCGATTCTGGATCTTTATGCTCTGAAATCGATTCTGAAATCAAAATATCGATACTTTTGATACTTACGCATTCTGAGATGAGGTGTATCCTAAACAGAAACATGGTGAAAAGTATCCAAATTATTGAGATGTTGTCTAAGTGACGCTCGGTTGGTGGGACTACTTCTTCTTCCGCCTGGGTGTGTGCGTCATGCTTAAGCACAGGGGCTCTACTCCGTGCTCTCACTCAGTCACTATTGATGGGAATTTCGGCTCTTTTTTGGAGAACCGGTTCTTTTGGCTCGGTTCACTGAAAAAATCCGACTCTTTCGGGTCCCAAATGGCTCCTCAGATTATTTATTTTATTTTTTTATTTATTTTTGTTTTACAAATAACATGTTTTCAGAGTTTGAAACATTGTTTTGACATATTTTATATGATTGTGTTCTCAAGTTTTTCTATTGTTGTGTTGACTGTATAGTAAACGAGGCAGCTACCTCAGTACACTCCAGAGTTTAAAATACATATAAATAATAATAATATTATAAAAATAATAATAATATAAAAAACTCTGCCTTGGATTCTTAAAGAAGCTATGATTTGAAATACACTTTTTTTTTTATTTAAAAGACAAATAATAAAAAATCGGAACGGAAATCGCCGATATCTGCCCGAATTTTACTCGGTATCGGATCGGAAAGGAAATTGGTGGTATCGAACCATCAGTCAAGCAAGGTGGGGGTAATGTGATGGTCTGGGGTTGCTTTGGTGCTGGTAAGGTGGGAGATTTATAAAAACACCATTGACCTGACATTAGCTTCCGGGAGGTGTCTTGAGCGTCAGACAATAGCTTACTCGCTACCAGTGTTTCCCAATAATTGCTGAAACTGTGGCAGCATGCCGTAGTCTCATTAGACCAATGGATGGTGTGGGAATCATTTTCCGAGAAAGCCTAGTCATCTCAGCTTGGCATCGTCACAGACAACGGAGTGCAGTACCACGTTTCCAACACTGGTTTTATTCCCTTTCCTTTGCAAGCCACTGCATTTTACCGCAAAAATAATACTAAATATAATAAACAGTATTTGTGTTGACGCACAATCAGATGAACAGTTGCCTTTAAAAGGGGAAAAAAAAACAATTGATCTCTTAAGTAATGACCAACTATGCTGAATCATATCATACCCGTTAAGCACTGCTGTAGGAATATCGTGAACCTG